CACCCAGCCCTCTGACAGTCAACGCACCCGGCTACTGGCCTGCTCCTTGGGGAGCTACCCACGGGCCACGGTATTAGATAAAGATGCCCGTCTAGCCCGGAGCACGGGGTTGAGGCGTGGAGAAGGATTTGACTATCCTGAGGATGAAATTGAAAACGACGGAACGCAGGAATGCAGCATTAACAAATTTTGCACCTTTTTCGGAGAGAGCTCCAGAGTACTTGGTTCAACCGAGTGACTAATTCTGCCTCGGGCTAGGATCATGTCATATGGGTCTACTGTCTACTGATTGTAATTTATCGTCGGCACCATATACCTGGATCTATAAACCAAACGACCGCCCGGGGCACTATACTGTATACCAGGGACCGCCCGAGTCCCATCCCACAAGCCACCTGCAGCCTCAGTTAGCACCCAGGCCTTAGTTCGCGGAGGACATCATTGCCCAACCTCGGGCACCCGGTGTGGCAGCTCATGCGCCTAGGACACGAGCGTTGAACACCGCCTCAGGGCAGTCAGCTGACCCAGTGCCCCGGGCAAGGTCACGGCGCGGCCCGTCCGCTGCCCAACAGTGACGTCACCAGGAGATGACGTCACGTCATGGGTGATGTAACAAGACAGGTAGTGGAGACTAATGCAGTTGTGGAGCGAATGACTAATATGTGGCTACGTAGAAACGGCTTGTGCAAGACGGCGACAAACAACGCATGCCAGTCACTGGCGAAATGATCGAGAAAGCACTCGGAGGTTTAGAAAAGGCAATAGGCATCCGCAGCCCTTAGAGACCGTATAAGTTAAGGGCTGCGGACACCTATTACCTGTTTATAACCATTTTACATGCATTTCGGAATCCCTCTCTTTCTGTCTCTCTGTAATGACTAATGTGCATTCTCTGATCTGTTGTTAGAAATGCCTTACATTGATTGTTAGGATTGCTTTCCATTGATGTAGGTAACGGACGTATGCAGATCCTAATCCCCAGAGAAAAAAGGGAGATCACTGTCGAAATTTGTTGCAAAGATATAGGCAGTATTATGTCTGACCCAGATCTAGCGCCTTGCTTGAGTTGCCGTTCATGCTAGTCACTAGGCCTCCACCTACATACCGTAGTCGTCTGATGTATGCAGTATGACTCGTTTTAGCCCGTATGTGCATTCTTACATGGCGGATCTATTGATAAACCGACTGAGGTCAATCGCTGGGGGAGGTCACAAAAATCATCAGCATCAGTGGTTTTTCCTAAGACAACAATGTAAAAACTGGCATGGTTAGCCGATCAGCGCACAGGAATGGCTACGCTCAACGCTGCATGACCCTGGATATTCCTTAGGCAACTACAATACCGTCTCAACATGGCGAATTCGATGAATTATATAATCAAATGAGCTACAGCTTATAACGTAACATCAGCCATTTGAGTGCCTGTTTTCATATATGTTGCCGTCCATGCTTCCAGCCCCTATGCTAGGTCATACATGTCTCCCGTCGTGTTTGGTAGCTCCCGTACGTGGCATCCGTGTAAGCACGCGTCAGTACACGTGTTTACAGACTGACACGTGGATATTGAGAAACCATTCATTTTAGCATTCCTACCAGGTGAATAGAAGGTATTTCTGGAACATTTTTTTTCGCATCAGCTTGTTGAGCCAGATAGGATTGTACGTGCGCAAGGTATGGACGACTCGGAATGTTTCCTGTTTGCTTGGAGTTGGTCGTCGCCACCTGAGTGATACTACGTACCCATCAAATCTCCATATAGTGTATGTTCTGGCCGTACAAAACAGCTACTAAGAACAAACGAAAATATCCGCAATGAGTTATGTAGAGAGGCAATGTAAGCACTAAGCAGCGGATTAAAACGATTCTAGGCATGGTAATCTGTCTGTCATTTAGCTTTCCACCTCGATCCCCTTCTCTCCTCTCTAGTCTCCATCTTTTTTATCGTTTCCTTCTCTCCATTTTCTCCAGAAACTAGGTAGGTACATCTCTCATCCGATAATTGCACGCAACTTATGCGTAACTGTCCACTTTTCGACAACGACGGCAAGAGCAAAGGAATCGAGCCAGCAGCTTCGCAGTCCACTGACACCACGCTAGAAAACATCCGTCGACTCATTGATTTGTTGATCAATTGAAAAACGGAACAGGAGTGGCGTAGGTGCTGCTATGAAAGGTGCATGAGTGACTAACACAGGAATCCAGCAATAGAACGTGAAAACAGTCGTGATGCGTCTTCAGAGGCGCGTTCTTCTTAGAAGAACGAGCACTGGCGGATCCAGCTCCGAATTTTGGTAGGGGCAAAACATAAGAATTTAGTGGTTCTTTCCATGCACAGTACATAGGCGTAATGTTAAAATTATGCCTAAATGGGATGGGCAATTGCCCTAATTATCCTCCCCTGAATCCGCCTTTGAGAACGAGCACCCATAGAGTTAACTTCAAACGGCCTCAATCCCTTCAGCCCCCACCTACAGCGCCACAGCTGCTGGCGTGTCAGTGTCATCCCAACGTCACCATTATCACTGTTCATATCCCCGGAACCTGTCTCCATAGCAACTGAGGCGCACGGTCGCCCTGTGCTCCAGCGCCGCTACCGGCACACGGGAGACTTACATTCATGTCAGGGACGTGTGTTTCAGTTATGTAACATGTTCGGGGACGGCCAGGACCCCACACGACAGACGGCGTGGGCTGTGAGAGGGGGCTTCAGATGCTGTAAGATGACCCGTGAGTTTTGTTACGGTTTTGTTTTTATTTAGGAGGGGCGTTTTACCTGTAAGTATATTTCTTACGCTGATCCACGAATGAATATGTTCATTGTTTTGCAAGGCGCGTGAACTACTTTCAGACTGGGGGGCACACCATAATAGAGATCGACCTAGGATACCCCCACAAATCTAATTTTCGCACCGGTTTTAGGCCACTTGTTTTTCATTTTTTGGCTTAAAAAACATTTGCAAAAAAATGCGGTATTTCGTCTAAAGCTGTAGGGCACCACCCCCAAGGCCCCAGAGTTGGGGGGAAACTGCCCCCACTGCCTCCCCCCCCCCCGGTTCCGCGCCTATGTTGTTTTGTTTGTTACGCAAATAAAATAGCAGGTATACTGAACCGAACTGAATTGAGGTGGTCAACGGTAAGAAGCTGGAAGATTTTGTTTTATATATAGGCTTTGAAGGAATTGACAGGTTCAATTTGTTATGAACAGCTTGTTGGGCCGACCGTAGCAACTGCAATCAAAACGGGAAATTGCGGGAGGATAACTCTTGGGATAATTTACGGAATACATAAAAAGCCGGGGTGTGGCGATTCCACACTAGTTATTACACCACTTCCCTTAAGTCCACACCACTTCCATCAACTGGCGTATCCCGCAAACAAGCCACAGACCATCCCCGAGAAGAGTCTTCTTTATTGACAGAAAATACAACGATGCAAAAGTCGGGCTGTCGACTGTCGTTATTCGGATTCAGATGGTCTACCAGCTGAGCTACTGAGCATAGATAAATCTTACAGGATAGGATTCACAAAAGATCACCAACATTTATTTCTATATTGTCTGAATTGTAAAGGATACAGCAATCGCACGATTCGTGTTTACTATCTACTTCAAAATAGCTTTGAAACATGCTACATTAATATGTGCTTCGTGTTAGCGTGTTTAACCCTCGCCGAACCTATTGGTTTTCTACATACGCGCCGGCCGAGGGGGGGGGGGGCGGGTACGACCCCCCCCTCGCCGTTTCGCCCCTGGTGGAGCTAGCGCGTCGCGGAAAAAACGAGCGTGTGCGCCGTTACCAGACGCAGAGATTGGTACCCGATTTTAAGGTCCTAGGTCAACCGGTGACCTCTGAGGTCAGGTCAAGTGCCCCAAGGTACAGTTCAGTTTTTGGTGAATAACTTCGCAAAAAACGGCCGCAGAGCCGCGATTTTGGCAGCATCGTGTTTGCCTCGTTCAGGCGCGTCGAATGATATACTTTTTGTTCGGGTCAGGTCAACTTGGGGTGTTGACCTCAGGTCAAGGTCAGGTCAGCACCCCAGGTCACGAAGTTGGTCGAAAGAGGTCATGTCGCATATCATTTGATTCAGCAGGTCTTCCTGAGTCCATTGGTGGCTTTCCCGACTCGATAGCTCAATTTAATCAAGAGTTATTGACGAAAAACTAATATGACCTTGATGACGTCATTAATGACGTCACGCAAGGTCAACATTGCAAAAGTAACGCATCTAACCTTGCAAGGACTAAGGAGTGCATTAAATCACGATTCTGTGTGCTTGAGATAGTTGGAGATCGTTCCCGGCGCCAGAATAGCAGTTTTCATTTTTTCCCCATTGACTTATAATGGTGAGGTCACGAAAATGACCTGACCTCATATGACCTTTAGGAAAAGTCCGAGATATACAAGTTGTGAGACTCATAATGGATACTAGATCCTGCAAGTTTCATTTCCCTGTGACATCTCCTCTGGCAGTGAGGGCGTTGCGAAGTTGCGACATCTGAAGACCGTGCAGAGGTTCACTTATGACGTCATAGGTCAGTGACCTGACCTGACCCAAAAATGCAGTTGGTGTTAGAAGATCCGGCTTGAATCAAAGGTCAGGTATGCCAAGTTTCAGCTCTCTATCGCCAGCGTGCTCGGAGCTATCGCGAAAAAACCCTATGGGGGGGGGGGGCGGCACCCGCCCCCCCCCCCTTGGCCGGCGAGGGTTAAGCCTTAAAGAATTCTGACGGGATAAATTATGATTAGCCGACCAGTAAACTTCAGTTCTTCGACCCCATTCATCAATTGATAATAGTTAAGGCGTCAGATTACGAACTACGAAGCTTCATATACATTCATATACTTCCTACTCTCCATAACATTTAAGTCATTCCCGATGAGCAACATGTCTCCGGAAGTCACCATAACCCGTTTCAAAGTCCCATCTTTATAAAATGCAAAGCAGAATTTAATAGCAAACTCTACACAGTCCATGAAAAAAAATGCCAAAGCACACGGAAATGTTTGTACAAAAGTGTGTATTGCGAGGTTTTCTCCAGTCTATTCGCTGAGTCAGTTCGCGTTAACTGGGAAACTTACGCCACGCGGCTAGACGAAGAACTGCTAGTTCTGGTCTAACGTAGCGCCGCAGATGGCGGTCGGGTAGCCCCCTGAGATCCAACTCTCCGGGCCAACTTTCACACAAACCTTGATGTACAAAATAAATACAGCCACTCACTTCCAACCCTTGTCTTTCCTGTCTTCACAGTCTTTGGAAGAAAGCCCGTAGGACCGTGAGACGGTTAGAGCCTCTGTACATCAGCACCTCGTAAGACAGCACGCATTCTAAACGGCCTGTGGTCTGAGTATTCTAACTTACGTGCGTGCAAATGAACGATTCATAGCACAAGTTCAAAACAAGTGCAGTCGGTAGGTGTAAACAGCACACAGTATGAGAGCAACAAAAGGTGAAACGAATGAATGACATCAGCGTAAATAGAGAACACAAAGCAGGCGTGTAAGAAAGTCACATGCACGATGTCTTTTCTTTGATCGTTGCAAACTAGACCCACGGGCGCTTCCCGCTCGAACGTTCATCTATGAGAAAGACGTTAGGAACTAAAAGAGCGGTCAGATAACGCCATACAGCTCTTGGCCCTTCCTTTCTGCTCCAATTAAGATCGGTGTCTGAGTTCTTCTGCGACAGAATCAGTGAAGCAGTTAGCTACATTATCAGTGGCAAAGTCAGTAACGTAGCGAATGGCACAGTCATTGACGCAGTATGACCGATGCACTTTAGAGAGTCGCCAAGCACTGTTAGTGGACCTTTCCAGCCCTCTGCCAGCACTGAGTCTAGCAGTGCTAGCAGTGCTAGCACCGCTCCGCTGTCTGTGCCCTCTGGGGGACACCATTGTCCCCTGAGGGACCCCTGGTCAGGGTGTCGGGCTCCGAGTGTTCCGGTACGCTGTGAAACAGAGGGAGGGTTATAGTTAGAAAGCGAACGCTGAAACGGCCGTTAGATGGTAAGCACACCGGGTACAGAACATTAATTGAATCACATCACACTGCTACCTGATGGATAAAGTTAATGAGCCAACTTTTGTGCTTGAACTAGCAAGTAAGAGCACAAAATGAGAAACAGCATCGACATCAGCAAGAAGTTGACGAAAATGAGTGTCCAATCTTAACTGCTATAGTCTGGCAAAACTAAGAAAGAACGAATTAAAGCGCAACAGTTATTGACGAACAGCTCTCGCGAGATTAAACGGTAGGTTTTGCACTTTTATATTTCCGGTTATATCTCAGAAACTAATCGATCTACGACGAAGCCATTTTACATGCTCATGGCCGGCTTGTGAACCGACAAGTCGATCGCATCTTCAACACTTAAAAGCTTAAGGCGACGAAGATATAGCCTACAGTATATTAAATTTTATAGGTGCAAAACCTACCGCTAAAACCCGCGAGACATGTACGTGTCTGTGTACATAACTTTCTATACGTCCGAGAACACTTCTATGAAAACTTAAAGCACGGATAGGCAAGGTACAAAGCACATCTCCTGATTGTATAGGTATTTGACAGTTTTAGTAGTATCGAGTTTGCGGTCTGATTCTCATCAATAAAAAACACGTGTGGTATGAAATTAAAAAAGTTCTGCTGACGCTCAACAACCTGGCTTTACCAGTCGTTTATAAATGATCTGGTATTTTGCCGTCCTGCAGCCGTTTGGAATGTCAACAAATCGAGAGCAGGCCGCTCCCAGAGCCACCCTTCTGCATGCCAGGGCCGAACGTTAAACAACACATACCGGGGGGCCAAAGAGAGGTGTTCTCCGACCGGGTCCAGCCGGCGGTCAACAGTTAGCTCCCCGGTTCGGAGGCGAGCGGTGCACCCCGGCCCGTCTACTGCCGGACTATCCAGAGTAGCATGGCCGTCCGACCCCTCGGCAGCTCCGTCTGCCTGCTGGCGCTGCTCTGCGCCGTCCTCCCGTGCGCGCTAGCCGACGTCGCCGGTGCTGGCACCAACGACGCGCTGGATGATCTGCTGGCGCTCGTCAACCGTGCGGTGAGAGAGGCTGTGGACCCCATCTCCGCCGAGCTCCGCAGCCAGCGCGAGCTGCTGAGCGACATCTTGGGCAGGCTGAGCAGCCAGGACGCCCGCACTGACCAGCTGAGCTTGCGCCTGGACCAGCTCAACGTAAGGCTGGACACCGGTAACTCGCAGTCTCTCTCTCAGCTGGACTCTTTGCGGACTGCCATTAGTGCTCGGCTTGATACTATTGAAGCTGCATTCGATTCGCAATTTAAATCCACTAATGCTCGGCTTGATTCCATCCAGGAGGCCTTAGAGTCTCAACCTCAGCCCGTCACTGCCCGGCTTGATTCCATGCAAGATGCTCTGGAGTCTCAAAGTCTGTCTGTCAATGCCCGGCTCGATTTTACTCAGAAGACATTGGAATCTCAGCTTCAGCCAGTCACGTCTCAACTCGACTCCATGCAGGCGGAGCTCGGCTCTCAGTATACTGCATCCAACAGCAGTCTCAGACATCTGCAGTCTGAGCTCGACACTGCGCTGGACTCTGTTACCACCGGGCTGGACTCGTTTAGCACACGACTGGAAGAGCTGGCAGAGATACAGCAGAACGCGACCACCGGGCCACGCGACTGCAGCGAACTGCCAAGCGGCTCCCCCAGCGGGGTCTACACTCTTCATCCCGAGTGGGGCCACTGGGACCCGGTGGATGCATTCTGTGACATGGAGACGGGCGGTGGTGGTTGGACCGTGTTTCAGCGACGCGAAGACATTCTGCCAAGGGAGGACTTCTACCGCAACTGGGCCGAGTATAAGGACGGCTTCGGAGACCTCACAGGAGAATTCTGGTGGGGGCTAGAGAAGCTGTGGCTGCTCACTGGGAAGTCGGACAGGAGATACGAGCTGCGCGTCGATCTGGGGGATTTTGACGGAGAGAAGAGATACGCCAGGTATGAGAACTTTAGAATTTCGTCAGAGTTTGACGGATATCGTATAACTGGTGGGAAATACACAGGAAACTCTGGAGACAGCATGAAATATCACTTCGGACAGAAGTTCTCCACCAAGGACAAGGACCAGGACAGTGACTCTGGTAGGCACTGCGCACAAATCCGCGAGAGTGGCTGGTGGTTTAACGCCTGCTATGATGCAAACTTGAATGGAGTGTATCTGTCAGGAAAGACTAACGATAGCAATTTTAGAGGAGTAGTATGGTATACGTGGCGAGGTGACCAATACTCCCTTAAAAGTACTGAAATGAAAATCCGTCCATATGCTGCCAGGGTCGGGAAATTTTGGGAACGTTTTTTCCTTTCCTTCGGGAACACATCCATGCTTCATCAATAATCAATCATTGACTTTCTTTCAATATTTGAGTTCTCGACTACATAGTACGATATTACTTTATCACGAAGATGATTTGGATTTCTGGGTGTCGCGGAGGACCGCTTGATTACATAGCAGGTTCAGCGCGAGCTCCAAATAAATTTGAGCTGGGCCCTGTTCATGAAGTCTGCGGCCGCTGCGGCCGGCCGCAGGCTCTAAGCTCCGCCCATTTTTGAAACGTCATCACTCACTCGGCCGCAGCAGCGTTCCATGAACAGCGTCTGCTGCCGAAATAGTTTCCGACAATTGTTTACAACTGAAGCACACCGGTAGATAATGTGTTTACAAAATTGTCTCCATGACAACACGGCCTGCGCCTATTTGACTTCAGTGCGCCAAGTTCAGTGCAATTAGTTTTCTTGAGGCTCGGCGGTCGCTGGATTGCGGCCGCAGAGATCGCAGCGGCCGCAGCAAGATGACGTCATATATTCGTCATACTACATGAGCCCCGCCCCTTTTTGTGACGTAACAACCCGGCTGGCCGCAGCGACCGCAGCGGCCGCAGCGACCGCCGGGGTTCATGAACAGGGCCCTGGTTTAGAGGAGAAAAAGTGTGAAAGGCTTCTGAAGTGGGGTCAATAAAGTAAAGCAATGTAGAAACAGTATTTGAATATTAAGTCGAATTAAGCAATTAAGACAAAACACAACGCGAGTAAAATATCACAAACATTTGATGCCGCTATGACCCGGATGTTAAGCTATTGATTGTCACATTGCATTGAGCAAAGCTAACGTAATTAAGCTCTTGAAATTTGATTGAGTGAAGAAACGGACAGTTACGATTAGCATTTGCATGAGTTTTAATGTACAGTAAATGATGAAGCTTGGGTGTAATTATAAAGCTGTGTAGGTAAGTGCATTTAGAATATCGGCGAGCAAGAATGGCCGGAAAGAAGAAGAAAGGAACACAGCCCCCTGAAGGTTCAGAACAGATGGCGGAAGACAGCGCGACGGAGCTTTCCCTAAAGAAGAACATGGCGGCAACAGTGAGAGAGTTTCATAAAGCTCAGAGGGAACTCAACTCGCTAGTCGAAAGCGGAGAGTTAACTGTTGGGAGCTCGGCAGAAATATTGGAGTCCCTGGACAACCTGACTGAAAAACTGAATGAAATTGGGGAAGCTCTAAGCACGAAGATGTCTGAACAAACAGAAAGAGAAGAGCTGTGGATAGAGATAGAACAGATGGAGAAGGACGGCAGAGAAGCAATAAGATTCGCCAACAAAATGATCAGAGAGAAATTGGCTTCCGTAAGTTCCCAAGGAAATGAAGAAGCACCAAGAGCGCAGAAGAAAGCAGAGGCTAGAACCGCTCGAATCGACTGGGGCGCGTATGGATTAAAAAATCCCCCGCTGTCGGTCTTCTCCGGGGACAACAGAAAATATGAAGACTGGAAGACCACGTTTGATGCATTTGTCGACGGCGAAGAAATTCCAGAGAAGTTTAAGATGATGCAGCTTCGCAACTGTCTTTCCGGAGAGCCACTCAAGCTGGTGGAAAGATACAGCCCTACCAAAGCCGGATATGACAAGGCTAGGAGTGAATTGGATCGAAGGTATGGAGTGGAGGGTCGGGCCGCCGGATACGGTATCAGCTGGAAGAAATCAGACACCTGAGACCGGTCCGTCAGGGCTCATACAAAGATCTAGAAGATCTAGCCGATCGAGTGCAGAGTCTGGTGACCCACCTTGAAGAATATGGAGGGGCTGGAGATCTCTCGGACGTCTCAGCCTATTATATTCTTGTACAAGAAAAGCTGCCAGCCACCTACCTCAAGAGTTACAAGCGCTGGCTGCAAGTTCAAAAAGAAAAGGACAGCTTCACTCTGTTCGCCGGTTGGCTCTCAGATGAAGCGGTGTGTGAGAGAGATGCCCATGAAATGAGCGGAGCCGGAAGCAGTCACTGGCAGTCAGAAGACCGAAGGAAGGCGAAACCGAGGCACGGAGAGAAACGAGGCGAACACGAATACAAGAAGAGCTTCAATGCAAGAAGTGAACACCGTGCCAAAGAGAATGGACCCATGAAGTGCATGTACTGCGGCGGAGAGCACAAGTTGGAAGTGTGCCCCATGTTTTGCCAGTGGACTGTTGGGAGCAGGTACCACTTCTGCCCAGTGGACTGTTGGGAGCAGGTACCACTTCTGCAAGACGAAGGGTATATGTTTTCGCTGCCTTTCAGGAACTCACAACGGCCGTAACTGTCGCCAGTATCCTGGCTGTTCTGTCGCGGCGTGCGGCGGCAGCCATCATACACTACTGCACGCTGAAGCCAGCGGTTTGACCTGCTCCGAGGCTCCCACCGGAGGCGCAGCCATTCGGGAGACAGAACAGAGGACCGCTAATGCTTCGCAGGTGTTCAAAACAAAACAGGTTCAAGAAGACACGAGCACCGTAGCGTTCCAGACAGTCCCTGTCAGACTGACCAATGGAACAAGATCAGTGGTGGTGAACGCGCTGCTCGACCCCTGCTCGGACGCAAGTTTCGTCACCAGAGCCACTGCTGAAGAGCTGAAACTCAGTGGAACCGAAGAAAGGTTTGAGTTGGGGACGGTGAATGGAAATGAATCGGTGAACATGAAGAAAACCGAAGTGAAGATGAGTTCTCTGGATGAGAAGTTTGGCATTGACTTGAGTGCCTTCGTCATTGATGACCTGTCAAGTGCTTCTACGATCGGTGATTGGAATGGCATTAAGTTGAAGTGGGACCACCTGAAGTCTCTGCCATTTCCAACACCTACGAAAAAGCAAGGCGTTGACATGCTCATCGGACTTGCCAGGAACACCATGGCACTCTTCATTCCGCTGGAGACTGTGAAGGGCGGTGAAGACGATCCAGTGGGTATCAGAACACCGTTGGGATGGACGGCATTCGGAGTTCTCGGAGGTGAGCGCAGCGGAAGCAACAGCAAGACGATGAGGACGAACATGAAGGTGATGAAGTTGGAAGAGTTGAAGAAGCTGAAGTTGGCTCCTTCTGAAGAGGCGCCACCAAAACCAGAGAAGCATAATGAAGAAGAAATCGAAGCAATGAGGGCAATGACCAGTTTGGACCTGATCGGGATCCAAAATGAAGCTGAAGTTCTGTCCCATGAAGACAAGATAGCGACAAAAATGATGGAAACATCTCTGAAGTTTGATGGCGAGCGCTATGAAGTTGCTGTCCCGTGGCGAGACGGAAGGCCAAACCTGCACGGAAACTTTGGATACGCGGTCAAAAGGCTCGAGAGGACCGAGAAGTCGTTGACGAAGGCGGGGAAGGAGCTGCTGACGGACTACGACGCCGTCTTTAAAGACTACCTCTCCAAGGGCTACATGAAGAAGCTTGAAGGTGAAGACAGGATGACTGCTGAAGAGGACGGATGGTTTCTGCCACATTTTCCTGTGATAAGAAGCGACCGAGTCACCACGAAACTGAGAGTGGTCTATGACGCTGCCGCCAGCTTCAGAGGCAGAAGTCTCAACAGCCAGCTCTACACGGGTCCATCAATGTGCAACGACCTCATTGAAGTTTTGCTCGGTTTCCGTCGGCACCCAATCGCCCTCACGGGCGATGTGAAGGAAATGTTCCTGCAGGTGAAACTTCCAGAAGAAGATCAGAAGTATCACAGAGTGTTGTGGAGGAACGGTGATGAAGAACGTGAAGTTGATGTATATGAAGCGAGCAGGTGGTTATTCGGCAACGCAGCAGCACCCTTCGCAGCGCAGTTTGTTGTGAAGCAGAACGCCGAGATTCACGCAGAGAAGTTTCCCTTGGCTGCAAATGTCGTGAATGATTCGTTCTATATGGATGACGCCATCACCTCATTTGAAGATGTCGAAGCAGCAGTGGAAGCTCGGAAACAGCTGACCGATCTCATGGCAGGTGCTGGAATGAAGATAAGGAAGTGGATGAGCAGCCACACAGAAGTCATGGAAACTGTGCCACCTGAGGATCGAGCTGAGAAGTCTTCCGTGAAAATCGAACAAGATTCTTCTCCAAACAAGGCTCTGGGTGTTGTCTGGAACGCAGAACATGATGTGATCAGCGTCAGCTCCGGTCCGAGGACAGATGAAGCTGAAGACAAAGGCACAATCAGAACCAAGAGAAGTTGTCTGAAAGTTCTAGCCTCCGTGTTCGATCCGCTCTGCCTCTGCTCGCTTTTCACGGTCACAGGGAGGCCACTGTTTCAACAGACATGGCAGCTGAATCTGGACTGGGATGATGACCTCCCACCGGAGCTGGAACGGAGATGGAGAAGATGGGAGTCAGAGCTGCGAAGATTGGAGTCAGTGAACGTGCCTCGCTGTCTGCATCCGTTTGAAGAGGTCTGCCGGCAGGAGATACACGTGTTTTCAGACGCGTCAGAGTCTGCATACGCCGCCGCTATATACGTAGTCAGTTAACAGGATGAAGAAAGGTCATCAAGACTGGTCATGTCAAGGGTCAGAGTGGCGCCCAAGTCGACAAAAGTCAGCATACCACGGCTCGAACTCATGGGAGCACTGCTTGGCGCCCGGCTAGTGAAGAAGGTGTGCAAGATGATTAACATTCCGATGACCGGAGTATTCTTCTGGTCAGACTCAGTGAATGTTCTCTGCTGGATCCGCAACGACGTCAGCAGGTTCCAGAGCTTCGTGGCACACCGGGTGTCGGAAATCAGAGACACTACAGAGCCAAGACAGTGGCAGCACGTGCCCGGGACAAGAAACCCAGCCGACCTGCCGACCAGAGGCCAGAGCTTGGATGAGATGGCCCAAAGCAAGATGTGGTGGGAAGGTCCTGACTTCCTGTGTCAGCCACCCGATTATTGGCCAGAGAAGAAAGATTTCTCACAGGAGAAACTCGACAGAAGTGAAGATCGACAGACAAAACAGGTGAAGAACACGCAGATGAAGAATCTGGAAAAGGAGTCACGCCTTGATCCTGCTCGTTTCTCATCTTGGGTGAAGTTGGTGCGAACCACTGCTTACGTGCTAAGGTTCGTGTCAAATCTGAAGACGAGGTCCGGTCGTGACCTACAGCTGACCTCAGACGCCTCATTGGTGCATCCATTGGATCCATCTGAGCTGAAGACGGCGGAGACGTTCTGGGTGAAGCTGGCTCAAAGTGAGTTTGAAGAAGAGAAGCGTCAGCTCGTGGCTCAGGCAGGCCACTCCGCCACAGGAAAGCGGCCAAGGGAGCTAAAGGACAGCAGCATTCGACGGTTATCTCCATTCTTGGATGGCGATGGCATTCTTCGAGTCGGTGGTCGCGTGCGCCGGTCAGATATACCGTTCGAAGCAAGACACCCAGCGCTGTTACCCAAACAGCACGCCGTGACTTGTCTTCATCATCGAGCAGACACACAAAGACGCAGACCACGAGATGGGAGTGGAGCACACCATTTCCGAGCTGAGGCAGCGGTTCTGGATCATCGCCGCAAGAGAAGCTGTCAAACGAACCATACGCACCTGCCCGGAGTGCATCAGAAGACGGCGCCAGCCAGAAGCACAGAAAATGGGCTCGAAGCTACCCAGTCATGCGCAACCAACGCAGTCAGCATTCAGCCACATTTCGGTGGACTTCGCCGGGCCCTTTGAGACTCGTCAGGGCCGCGGGAAAACAAGACAGAAGCGGTACTTGTGCGTGTTCTACTGTCTGCTCACGAAGGCCATTCACTTAGAAGTGGCGTACGGTCTGGATACCGACAGTTTCCTTCGAGCCTTCATGCGATTCATATCAAGAAGAGGCAGACCGAGCCACGTGACGTCTGACAACGCCACCAACTTCGTCGGAGCAAGCAAGGAGATCAAGAAGCTACTGCTTCAGCTTGATGAATATCAAGTCAAAGACAAGACAGCGCACCTCTACATCAAGTGGCACTTCATCCCGCCGGGAGCGCCTCACTTCAACGGTGGATGTGAGGCAACAGTGAAGTGTGTGAAGAGGAGCCTGCGCAAAACGCTGCAGAGTGCAGACCTGACTGATGAAGAGCTACAGACTTCTTTCTGTCGCGCCGAGGCGCTGCTGAACTCTCGGCCAATCACAGCGGTGTCGTCCGATCCAAATGACGGCCCTCCGCTGACCCCGGCGTCGTTCCTGCTGGGTCATAATGAAGTTGACCTGGCACCGACCTCCTGTAACGACAGCAACTACCTGAAGCGAAGGTGGCAGCGGCTGGAACAACTCAACAGGGAATTCTGGCGCCGCTGGATCCGAGAGTACCTGCCGAGTCTGCAAGCCAGACAGAAATGGACCGAGGCGTCACGGAACATCCCAGAAGGCGAAGCAGTTCTGCTCGTCGACCAGACCGTGCCGCGCGGCTCGTGGCCCCTGGGAAGAGTCACCGCCACGTTCCCCGGCCCGGACGGACTGGTGCGGGTCGCTGAGGTCAAAACGTCAAAGGGCGTCTACAGGAGACCAGTGACGGAGATCGTCAGACTGGAGCTGGATCAGTGATGCAACGGACTGATCGAGACATGTGAGGTGTGATAGTGATTCAGAGTGATTGGGAATCACTCAGCGTGGGGGGTGATGTCGCGGAGGACCGCTTGATTACATAGCAGGTTCAGCGCGAGCTCCAAATAAATTTGAGCTGGTTTAGAGGAGAAAAAGTGTGAAAGGCTTCTGAAGTGGGGTCAATAAAGTAAAGCAATGTAGAAACAGTATTTGAATATTAAGTCGAATTAAGCAATTAAGACAAAACACAACGCGAGTAAAATATCACAAACACTGGGTTAATCATGGAGTTTAGACTTTACAGAACAGCATGGATGTCACCTTGGGGGTGTCTATTGGCGACGCACACAGCCACGGATCGTCTTTTTGAGTATTTGTGTGCTACTATAGTTTCAAACGTGCCAATATCATATATTCCATATGCATCGGGAAGACAGTGGTTTCGATGTTTTGTTAAAGGCCCATGAGGATAGGCTATGCAATAACTAACTGATACTGACTAGTGCTTCAAGACGCTCTAGCTCCATTCTCTCTTAAGGCTGAAACAGACTCTTTCCGCGTTCAGGAAATCGCATGCGAGAGCCTATTCAAATACATTGTAATTCTTCTCGCATCAATCGCATCCGGGAGGTGCGTGCGATTGATGCGAGCGTGCTTCCATGTATTTGAATAGGCTCTCGCATGCGATTTCCTGACTGCGGAAAGAGTCTGTTTCAGGCTTTAGGTAATAGGTTTGCCAGACTAGCCGAGGTTTGTGTGTTTTAAGAGGCATTTTTACCCAGGTAAGGTTATAAGAGACATTTTTTTCTTACCAAGGGTCCCAGAAAACCCAGGTCAGGTTTTCCTGGATCTCCATGTGTTCGTCTGCTGCCTGTTTAGAAATACTCGAATCCTTTTGTAGCATGTGTATCGAAAATAGCTAAGCGATTATAACTTGATAATTAATCATCGGTACTAGACCTGACGCTGTTAGACGTAATCTGTCATTTTGAAATGTACTTTCTGTTGTCAAAGGCGTGGCAAAGTATGCCGAAATATACAGGACACTAATATAATTATTGAAACCCAGTTGAAAGCTGAAAAGTTCCTAATTACACACTAGTCTCACTCTCGACACCAGCCGTCCCTTCCTATGATGAAATACTCACACAGGACATTCGTCGGAAGAGATCAGGTCGGCCGGCTCGATGATGACGTCATCCTCTGACACCGGTGACGTCACTAATGAACCCGCGGAGGCTGGCGAACGGATTGAAACAGCTATATCAGAGGTAGCCGGGCCAAAGAAGAATGTAAATGTGGAAAAGAAAATGAATCTAGATTAGCTAGCAATTGACCCACGGACGCAGGCCAAATGATTTGTTTGAAACACAACGCTCATGGGTCACACTGGCTTGATTTATTCGATTTGTTTTGCTTTTTGGGGAATGAGCCTTGGTCATGGGACTTCACACACATGTTTACTCTGTATGATACCCTACCGAAAGTGTGTGAATGTATGATAATCTACCGAATCTTTTACTCACAGGAAACTTTTTTCCTGTAGCACCGGGAATCGTCATACATATTGTATGTAAACGTGAGCCACCCCCCAAGTTTCCTTTCCTGATTTGTCGGTATATCTTGGGCTACTTATCTGTTGTCTTAGTTCCGTGCACTCAAAAAGTGTGTTTAACGTTTCAGTACCGCTATGCATTTATGACGATCACATGCATAGCTTCCATCATAATAGCACCACCATGATCTCATGGCCCACATGCAGTGTAGAACTTGCTAGCCATTAGGTGTGGCGTACTCAACGGTATAATTAAGTGCTACTTCCTTGACCGTTTCGTGTTTTTTATCATTATTGTTTGGAGGTTGATCGATGGTCGAGCGAGCATCACGGATCTTCCTGGAGGTCAGAGAACGTGTCCTCTTCAAACCTTTGGTCACTATAGGCTGAGATATTTCAGAGCGTCCTAATGCGACAGCATTGACATTAAGCACGGACACAATCCCACGCTAGGCGTCGCTCCCATCCCTAACCTACTGTTGTTTAGCGGTAACAGCCAAGCTGGAGCCGCCACCTCCCCCGCCACTGACGGATAACTGTGTGTCACTCTAAGCCCCTGACCTACCGTTGAGGGGTACCAGCCGAGCTCTAGCCACCTACCAACCACTCAGGAATAGCCGAGTGTCCTTCTAAGCCCCTGACCTACCTACCGTTGAGGGGTACCAGCCGAGCTCTAGCCACTGTGGGACAACTGTGTGTCATTCTAAGCCCCTGACCTACCGTTGAGAGGTACCAGCCGAGCTCTAGTAAGCCACTGTGGGACAACTGTGTGTCATTCTAAGCCCCTGACCTACCGTTGTTTAGGGGTACCAGCCGGGCTCTAGCCACCTCCCAAACACTGGAATAGCTGCGTGTCATTCTAAGCCCCTGACCTACCGTTGAGGGGTACCAGCCGAGCTCTAGCCACCTCCCCCGCCACTGTGGTGCCAGGAGCCAGGATCACTGTCGCCGCTACGGTCCCTGAAGGAGAAATACCCAGGGCACCGTCAGATAACAGTGTAGCTGTTAGATGGCCTGTCAGTGTTCTCAGGAATAACTAGGTAATAGCCGTTTTCACGAAGGCCATCTGGTACACATTTGCTGCAGCTTAGGTGCAGATTTGGTCAAATTGGGTTCATTGTTTCTTAAAAGTTGTCCGTTTGGGTTGCACAGTTGCATAGACCACACTTTTCAAATCATCAGAGTTTATTCTCGATTAAAATACTGAAATAAATTCATGACATGAAGATATGCATTGTAAGAGAGTCCGTGCAGATTTGGCCAAATTAGGTGCACTCGCCCGAATATAGCCCGTCGTGAAAACGACTATTATGGTGACAGTGTGAGTGATGATCAGTGATCACCTATCGTTTATATCTTGCGGCGTTAAAAACTAGACACGGATTACATAAAGTTAAATTATATGAAGATACTCTCATATAATTCGTTTCTGTTGCCATCCACCGGCTTTTAACTTTTGACGCCTGTGAGCTCAGAAATTTGTTCACGGGCATCGCAAGCTGCTGAGTGCGGTGTGTGCAGCATGCGTGGGGGTAGGGGATGGGTAGGTCGGTTCTGACGTCACACGGCTGCGTGCGGTGGACGGTCCGCTGTGGCCAGTCCCGACCGGCCACAGCGGTCGCTGTGTGCGGTGACGAGAGGCTGACGTAGGGACGCAGTGGGCGGAGCTTGGAGCCTGTGTATGGTCCTACCGCACACAGGGCCCGTGAACAGCCCTCTGATTATATCGATGCATTTCGAAGTGAACGGAGACAAAAAAAAAGAGAAGGGGCAAGAGGAGTGATAGAAGTGACAGGGCAGGGAGCTGTGGCACACCAGCATTAATTTATCAATGATAGTATTTACGACACTTCTTCGTCTCGCAATTACAGGTCCACTTGACCTACACCTCACTGCCACCCTATACTCACCGTTATGCGGCTGCACTCCCAGCACTCCATTCTTCTGCTCGCCATTCTGCTCAGCCACCCCGGGGGTCGTCCGCCACTGCTGTGTCATCTGCTGGAATTGTACCGGCGCCACCGCGGCGGGAGACGACTCACGGGACTGGAGGTAGGGCGGACTGGCGCCGTCCCCTCCCAGAACCATCGGAGAGTCGGGTGACGCGTCCGAGCCGACGCTGCGGAGAAGAAAAGGAGGTGTGTGAAGACTTAGTTTGTACTAAACTACAAGAGTTTCGACGACTTACAGGTATACGAGTATATATACGAATATGGGTGCGTGTTTAAGTGCCAAAATACTCTCACTAATGAATGCAAACATACGAGTACGTACAAAAATATATGCTCATTTCTCATCACACGAGATCAGAGATCCCCAGAAAAACCACAAAAATTATATAAATTGCTATTTCAAGTTAACGAAAAGAATTTCTTTATAGCATGGATCCACTAAGACCATCCTCTCTTAATTCTCTTCCCATCAAGACGACACAACGACCACACCACCTTAAACACTAAACACCCATCAAAAGTACACCTACCTATTCAGCGACCACTTCTCTCACACCCTTCCCCATCACTGACCCGTTTCCATTCCTCGCTCCAGATCCATTGGCGGCGCCCCGGCCGCGCCTCCGGAAGGCCTGTTCCACCAGAGTGCCTTCCGCTTGCGGCTTCACGCGCCAGAAGCCGCCCTTGCCCTGGTGCTCATGACTACGAGCCACCTTCGTGAAGCTTCGGTTCAGCGATAGGTTGTGGCGAATTGAGTTCTGTCGGCGAAACGGGGACTTTGTGAGCGAAATGATTAAGTTTGAAGGTGGGGGATATAGTGAAGAGAATGCGGTTAGAATAAAGAGTGGTATGGAGCAAAGTAGAAGAAAGGGAGGGGCCAAAATGGTGAGACACTGAGAGGCCAAGTTTAACAGTGAGGGTTATAGAAAGGGGAAAGAATGGAGAAGAAACGAGGGGCAAATGTAGCTAGGCGCATAACGAGTGGGAAAAGACTACCCATAGACGAAGAAACAATATAAGTTAACGGGGAGGTACCATCGGAGATGAAGCGAAGGTGCCTGGGCCAGTACAGCAAAATAACGATACGTAACATGTGATACGTAATAGAGATGCCACAAATTTGCAATTTCATTACCCGCCCCGCCCCGCAGCTACCCCTTGCCCAACCACAACTACCCGCAAGCTGATTTTGGCTGAGCCGAACCCGCAAAAAAACCGCAATTTTAAAAACCTGCTTTTGCAAGAAAAAAATACAGCTGAGTCAATGCTAGAGCTATATAAACCTTACTTGCTTCATTGCTGTGCAGAAAAAGGCAGCCAAACAAATAGTAAGGACTTGAAATTTCTATGCTAAGTCCTCAGGAAGTGCGCACTGGATAGTGGAAAATGAATAATGCATCAATACATTTGAAATTCCTTTCTGAAAAGAGTTCAGTAAAATCTTTCTCTCACCTTACCCTTCAGCATTGGCTGAGGATCAAAATTTCACTCTAGCTCCCTCTCAATATTAGGCTTCTAGAATGATATTGTTATCAAAATGAATGTTGATATAAAAAGGTATGCGATTTCCAGTTAAAAATAAATAGTGACACGTTGAATAATGAGTATCCAGTCGATCTACACATAAAACAAATCATGCAAAATCCCAGCAAAAACCAACTAACCACCAATGAACCACGCGTTTCTGGAAACATGCGTCAGAAGCGTCACCAACAGCTGATTGCAAGGAATGTTACAGCGACTAAATTATTGCAGCCGTAGTTAGTGCGAACTTGTTGCGAAAACACCGTTGTATAATGCATATTCATGTGCCATTCTGATAGTTATTTTACACAACAGCTAAAGTTTTACAATTCAGAGTTAATCACCTGTTAAAAAATAAAGAGACAGTAAATACTAAATTAAATGTAATAATTTTAAAGATGGTCTTGGTAATGCTCTCCGGCTGGTCATCTCTCGGCATACAACAAGTTAAAAGACAAAAGAAATAAATGCGACCAGCTACGTGGTTTTGTAACATGTATAACTGCTATTTTGAGGTATTCAAAAACCAAAACAGAAAAATTGATTATAAAATTATTATTGCGTCATCAATGTTAGCTTTCCTTCGCCTCAGAGACCAAAATTGACGCAGTCAAATGCCAATCCTTGTCAGAATGTCGGAAGTGCGCCATGTTTGTATTGCGTTATGTTTGGGCCGCATGCCAGTCAATATTTTGATTTTTTGTAAGGTAATTGACGTCTGTATACTTAGCGAATTATTGACATTGACGTTCAGCGACAGATTCGCGGACCCCTAGGAATCCGCTGAAAATCCCTATATAGGGGTAACTTGGGGCGTAGAGTCGCGTGGTGCAATCCGTTAAACCCTACACCTAATACTTTTCCCGCTAGAGGGCAGCAAAGTTCCAGCGACAGATTCGCCGGACCCCTAGGATTCCGCTGAAAATCCCCATATAGGGGTAACTTGGGGCGTAGAGTCGCGTGGTGCAATCCGTTAAACCCTACACCTAATACTTTTCCCGCTAGAGGGCAGCAAAGTTCCAGCGACAGATTCGCCGGACCCCTAGGATTCCGCTGAAAATCCCCATATAGGGGTAACTTGGGGCGTAGAGTCGCGTGGTGCAATCCGTTAAACCCTACACCTAATACTTTTCCCGCTAGAGGGCAGCAAAGTTCCAGCGACAGATTCGCCGGACCCCTAGGATTCCGCTGAAAATCCCCATATAGGGGTAACTTGGGGCGTAGAGTCGCGTGGTGCAATCCGTTAAACCCTACACCTAATACTTTTCCCACTAGAGGGCAGCAAAGTTCCAGCGACAGATTCGCCGGACGCCTAGGATTTTCAGCGGAATCCTAGGGGTCCGGCGAATCTGTCGCTGGATTTTTGCTGCCCTCTAACGAGAAAAGTATTAGATGTAGGGTTTAACGGATTGCACCACACGCTCTACGCCCCAAGTTACCCCTATATGGGCATTTTCAGCGGAATCCTAGGGGTCCGGCGAATCTGTCGCTGGAAATTTGCTGCCCTGTAGCGGGAAAAGTATTAGGTGTAGGGTTTAACGGATTGCACCACACGACTCTACGCCCCAAGTTACCCCTATATGGGGATTTTCAACGGAATCCTAGGGGTCCGGCGAATCTATCGCTGGAACTTTGCTGCCCTCTAGGGGGAAAAGTATTAGGTGTAGGGTTTAACGGATTGCACCACGCGACTCTACGCCCCAAGTTACCCCTATATGGGGATTTTTAGCGGAATCCTAGGGGTCCGGCGATTCTGTCACTGGAATTTTCCTGCCCTCTAGCGGGAAAAGTATTAGGTGTAGGGTTTTAACGGATTACACCACGCGACTCTACGCCCCAAGTTACCCCTATAAGGGAATTTTCAGCGGAATCCTAGGGGTCCGGCGAATCTGTCGCTGGAACTTTGCTGCCTTCTAGCGGGAAAAGTATTAGGTGTAGGGTTTAACGGATTGCACCACGCGACTCTACGCCCCAAGTTACCCCTATATGGGGATTTTCAGCGGAATCCTAGGGGTCCGGCGAATCTGTCGCTGGAACTTTGCTGCCCTCTAACGGGAAAAGTATTAGGTGTAGGGTTTAACGGATTGCACCAGGCGACTTGACGCTCCAAGTTACCCCTATATGGGGATTTTCAGCGGAACCCTAGGGGTCCGGCGAATCTGTCGCTGGAACTTTGCTGCCCTCTAGCGGGAAAAGTATTAGGTGTAGGGTTAAACGGATCGCCTCACGCGACTTCACGCCCCAAGTTACCCCTATATGGGGATTTTCAGCGGAATCCTAGGGGTCCGGCGAATCTGTCGCTGGAACTTTGCTGCCCTCTAGCGGGAAAAGTATCAGGTGTAGGGTTGAACGGATTGCACCACGCAACTCAACCCCCCAAGTTACCCCTATATGGGGATTTTCAGCGGAATCCTAGGGGTCCGGCGAATCTGTCGCTGGAACTTTGCTGCCCTCTAACGGGAAAAGTATTAGGTGTAGGGTTTAACGGATTGCACCACGCGACTTTACGCCCCAAGTTACCCCTATATGGGGATTTTCAGCGGAACCCTAGGGGTCCAGCGAATCTGTCGCTGGAACTTTGCTGCCCTCTAGCGGGAAAAGTAGTAGGTGTAGGGTTAAACGGATTGCCCCACGCGACTTCACGCCCCAAGTTACCCCTATATAGGGATTTTCAGCGGAATCCTAGGGGTCCGGCGAATCTGTCGCTGGAACTTTGCTGCCTTCTAGCGGGAAAAGTATTAGGTGTGGGGTTTAACGGATTGCACCAGGCGACTCTACGCCCCAAGTTACCCTAATATGGGGATTTTCAGCGGAATCCTAGGGGTCCGGCGAATCTGTCGCTGGTACTTTGCTGCCCTCTAGCGGGAAAAGTATTAGGTGTAGGGTTTAACAGATTGCACCACGCGACTCTACGCCCCAAGTTACCTCTATATGGGGATTTTCAGCGGAATCCTAGGGGTCCGGCGAATCTTTCGCTGGAACTTTGCTGCCCTCTAGCGGGAAAAGTATTAGGTGTAGGGTTTAACGGATTGCACCACGCGACTCTACATCCCAAGTTACCCCTATATGGGGATTTTCAGCGGAATCCTAGGGGTCCGGTGAATCTGTCGCTGGAACTTTGCTGCCCTCTAGCGGGAAAAGTATTAGGTGTAGGGTTTAACGGATTGCACCACGCGACTCTACGCCCCAAGTTACCCCTATATGGGGATTTTCAGCGGAATCCTAGGGGTCCGGTGAATCTGTCGCTGGAACTTTGCTGCCCTCTAGCGGGAAAAGTATTAGGTGTAGGGTTTAACGGATTGCACCACGCGACTCTACGCCCCAAGATACCCCTTTATGGGGATTTTCAGCGGAATCCTAGGGGTCCGGCGAATCTTTCGCTGGAACTTTGCTGCCCTCTAGCGGGAAAAGTATTAGGTGTAGGGTTTAACGGATTGCACTACGCGACTCTACGCCCCAAGTTACCCCTATATGGGGATTTTCAGCGGAATCCTAGGGGTCCGGCGAATCTGTCGCTGGAACTTTGCTGCCCTCTAGCGGGAAAAGTATTAGGTGTAGGGTTTAACGGATTGCACCACGCGACTCTACGCCCCAAGTTACCCCTATATAGGGATTTTCAGCGGATTCCTAGGGGTCCGCGAATCTGTCGCTGAACGTCAATGTCAATAATTCGCTAAGTATACAGACGTAGGTAATTGGTGTCATTTTCGTAATATAGGGTGGGACAGAACATAGAGTAGGATAGGTAATTAATGAATTTGCATTGCATCAAATTTTGTTAAGCTGATAGCTCTTTTTTATGCCGACCAGACGCAAATAAAGTAACATGTGGCATTTGCTCTGATTTTCAACATCTCATTTAAGTCTGGGTTCTTCCATAATGTATATCTAGTGCACACTGCACATAGACTTCAGTTCAGCTTCCTATAAGTTTGCTTTCAGGTTCTTTTATGTTTTATGGAATGCTTTCATCAGCATTTACTTATGCTTTGTAGTTTGTTGCTTGTACCTACCCTGGTTTGGTCATTGCTAGACTGTGGATGCTATTGCTGGTTGTTTTCAGTTTTGCATTTGAAATGTGCTACCTTGATATATTTTTATATTTGGTTCTGTTTTAAAAGTTGTTTTGATGAATATTGTATTGTTAACCTGAGCAAATGCACTTGACATTGTGTTTTGCATCTAAAAAATAAATTTATAGGTTCTTAAAGGAAAAGGGCCACCTTCGTGAAATATGAAGATATCGTTGTTTTTCATTTTGACATTATTATTTTTCATTTTCTTTTTAAAACTGGTGCCAGAAGTGCACAATTCGCGAAAAAGTATTTAAAACTATTTAACATATTGGTACTATGTTGATACTCTCTACGGCACCTACTGTATGATGGCATAGCGATGACGTCACACTCAAGCCAATCAGCGTTCAGAAGACAGACTCGTCGGATTGTGTTAGATAAGCTGATTGGTTAAAGCTGAGCTGGTTGGAGCTGATTGGTAAAAAACCAAAGCCTCGCCGCGGGTGGCTGTATTGTCGGATAAGAACGCATTCCTGGGATAAGGACGCATTCCTGGCGTATTTTCTTTTAAAATTGCCGATAACTACGAATGGAGGCCGAAATCGGCCGTAAGGAGGTAGACAGACAGGTTTTCGGACACGGGCTACAAGATGGCTATCTCAGTTTCAATCCCCATGTTAAAGGTGGCCCTTTTCCTTTAAGTCTGACCGCCAAATACCCGCCACACGACAAGTTTTGCTTCTCGAGCCCGCCAAAAACCCTGCGGGTTTTGAAAACCCGCAGAAAGCGGGTTCGCGGGTTCAAAAGTGGCATCTCTAATACATAACGCTAATGCGAATGGACATTTAAACAATAATATACTTAATATTACAAGTATGAAGTTACCACACAAAAATTATGTGCATTGTACATGATGACGTGATGTGTGTAATGCTCAAAATAAAGTCACAGATAAAAGCGCTCCACGACTATAAATTTCAGCCAAAATACACGCCGCACAAATGACTGAGATCCCGTTCCTCACCTGCCATCCCTTGTCGGCGGTGCGGTAGTAGGGGTAGTGGCGCGTTATGTAGCTGTAGATACCGCTCAGTGTCAGCTGGCCGTCCTTAGAAGTCGATAGGGCCTGTACGATCAGCTGGGCGTACGAGTAGGGCGGCTTGGAGCGACGGTCCTGGCAGGCGGGGTGAAAAAGGTCGGCTTGTATGTACCTATATGAATACATAAACGAGTATAACAGGAAATTGCGTCTAGGATGAGCTCTACCCGAACTTCGATATGGTCAAAGTATTTGTAACAAAACTATTTCAAAGTAGTAAAAATGCATTCAATTGTTTGACGAAAGCGGGAAATTGTATGAATAATGTAGGGGCTGCTGCCTAGCACACCTATGTATAACCAAAACCAAGATTTCTTGGCTGACCCAATAATTACTCTGTTCACCCACTCTTCCTTCAATTACCCAGTTAGTTATTACCCAATTCTACTACCCAGTTATTACCCACTCTTCTCACGGTCATCTGACCATGAGCTCGCCGCTCCACTGACCTGAGGTCGGTGCTCGCCGGCCGCGTCACCGCGCCGCTCCTGCGCCGCGCCCCTCGAGTCGCTGCTGTAACTGTGATGCAGTAGCGGGGTGGTTGGTTCGCCACTGCTCTCCTCGAGAATAATGACGTCTCCCAGCTGTGAGGGGCTCACAGCGCGGCTACTGGATGTGCTGAAAGATAGAGTGGAGATTGAGGAAGATAGCATATAGTGGTTCACTTTCTCATGGCCAGCTGGATTTGGATAAGGCTGTAACTTCGAGGCTAGGAGAGAGCACACAAGGGTTGTTATTCACGCCAGCTAGTAACTGTCGAGAAAAGGCCGCAGTAGGCTCAGGAGAGTCATGTCGCCATCTACCTGCAATGCTCTGCTCCAGGCTCAAAATTTCCTCAGTGAGTTTGATACAGGGCGCAGGCTGTGTGATGGGTTGATAGGCAGTAGGCCTGTGGTGTTACCAGGGCTAAGAGTCTACGGATTCCGACTCCGGCTCCGACTCCTACTTCAAAAATTGACTCTGACCCGACTCCAGACATTGCTCTTCAAGTCCAGTTAATGAAATTTAGTGCATCTCGGAGATATTTTTATCTTGCCTTAAGCGACTTTTTCCGCGTTCCGAGGCCTTACATTTTCAAAAAGTAATCTTTAAGTGGCATGGAGAAATAAAAACCGGTTTTGACGCAACAATCGTCGGTAACTTTTTTCAATGAAAAAAAAAATGAAAATGCTTGTCCAAAACAGGGGCATATCCTTAGCTTCAACATAATCTGATTTTGAAAGGTCAGAGAGTGAAATGTCGTCAAGCAAACAGGTGTAGGGCATGACTGAGCCATGCAATGTTACCTCTGACTTTGGAGTCGGAGTCTGTGAGATTTTGGTGACTCCAGCTTCAACGACTACAGGCAAAGCTTCCACTGCGATCGACTCAGAATCCAAGTCTGCAGCATGGGTGCTACATGACAGTACACAATGCAACAGGCTCTGCTTCACGAGATCCAAGCCTGAAGCCACCCATTTAACAATTCCTGCTAAACCAATGAAAAATAACACAAAATGACATTAGCAACAACACATGCTGACACCTAAATCAACTAACAGCATTTATCACATTTTGCATCTCCTTACCTAACAATATCAGTTGGAGAGGTTGCGGGACCTGTCGCAATGGCCTGCTGAAAAGATGGGTCTGTGTCCACTGAGATGTTGACTTGAGATACAAACACCATGAACATCCCAGTGCTCGGGAAACCGATCATGCATCTGTGAAAATAGTACCACTTTGTCAAAGTGGAACTGAGAGCAATTCTTGCTAAGTTCACATAGAAGTTCAAAGTAAGCTCATAGATGCGCGATAAGTAAATATATAAGCAGTAAATCTGCATCACCACCTTATTATTGTACCTAATTAACCAGCGCTGTGCTGGTGACCTAAGTTTTCTGTGGTGCGCTGGGAAGGGAGAGCATTTCACACACACCCTCCCATCTTACATCGTCCATCACAGGTAGCTAGTAGCTACCAAGTCTATCATTCACCATATAGGTGCATAATATCTGACAATAACATTAGTTGTGTTCCCAAGCCAATCTTAACTTTGAAAATTCACAAACTATATTCCAAAGACATGGAAGCAAGTGCATTCTGATTCTTGTCTGGAATGGCTTTGCAACAGGCAAATCTCACCTTGATGGGATAATTTGAAGTCCGTCACTAGGCCGCTGAAAGTCGTCATCAACAAATACACCATTCTTGCTATGACACTTCATGAAGAAATCGGGTTCCTTAAAAATTATTTCGAGGTGAACACGCGAAATAAAGCTGGAATCGCCCAGATCAACGTCTACATCTCCTTTAGAGCTATGCCGGCCAAGAGTGATACGTTTCTGGCGCATTAAATATTCTTTGTCGTTCCACTCAATTTTAGCTAAAACTGGTCCTTCCTGTGGCTGACTCATGTCTGTCACCTGCACAGCAGTTGTAGCTGAAGGCTTTGATAAAAGCTTCGATAAAAGCATAACAATGCTGCCTCAACGAACGGCTCTACCCCGCTCTCCACAGCACACAGACGCCGCCGAGATGCACGTGTGTTCAAGGCCGCGTGTGTTCGATTAGATTGCGAGGATAAATTAAAAAAAGAAGCATGTATTACGTATAAATACAAGTTTTATAATTATGTTCATACAAAAAGGATTTCATTTCTTATAATAGAAATTGAACCTTTCTCTAAAAATAATTTTATTCAAAGATTTACGCCATAATGATCGTAACAAGCTCTACAAACGAGAATTTTTTATTATGACGTCATTAACCCAACGTAAATTTGTGTTTGTTTACATATTTCATCCAGCCTTCCATCGATTACAATCAACAAACGGGAAACGATTGCCAAGGCCAAATAAACAAACAAACAAACAACTTCTTGTGCGTTGATTGCGCAGAAGTATGGGAAAATGGAATATATTGGACGACAGTCGACATGTCTTTTGCGTTTTGTTTGATGTCCTGCTACAAATTCCAAATTCCAACAATGCTCGATCAGAGAGCACAGCCACGTGTAAGCTGTAGGCATACCGGCTAGGCAGTAGGCACCAAGTAAAGACAGTTTTGATCTGCGGTGAGGTCCGATAGGATGGGAATGACCCTTGAGGTACTCACGCTCAGTCAGAACTCAGAGTGAGTAGGGTGGGTCTGCAGACTACATAGATTGACTATTGAGTATTGAGATAGACCTCCGAAATCCATTTTATCCAATAGCCAAGGGCTCTGTCACGACCCGATGGTTGGGGGGGGGGGGGGGGCGGCGGGGGAGACGAAGACCGCTTGAAGTCGATTCTTTCCATGCAGCGCCCATAGGTATAATAATACCCTTTATTTCGTTCCATCCTTGAAACATATGTGAGCACACATGGAACACACACCACACCACAACAGTCCCATCAAGGCCCTATATACCAGGTAGGGTCGTCCGGCGATTCTACCTTTTCGTGACGTCAGCTCGTGACGTCATTTGGAGTCAAGTCTCGAAGCCCCGTTCAATCCCCATGTAAATGAGCGATTTTCGAAGCACTGTAGAATGAAGTCTGCACAAGATATATCAAACCTAAGTATCTTATCTGAAAGAGCAGACAATTTTCTGCAAGTTATCTATTACGTGTTTTTCGCTAAATCTTTTGCTTTTTTCACAAAAGCGTAGGGGAGAGCGGGGTGAGTTGTATCATGTCCAAGTTGTATCAGGGCGAATTGTGCCAAACTTATCCAATAGATAGCGCTCGTGACACGACCAGCCGACGAGGTTTTCCGGGCGCCACCTTTCCCTGTTCTGTCGTGTGGCTGGGTGGACGCGTCTCGAGGTGAGAGCCGATTTTATGTTTTTTTAATGTCATTCTAAAAAAAATAAGTTGCAGGAAAATGTGTGTTTTGGGCATTTAGATGTGCACGAATTTGAAAGATCTCCGTAGGGGTGGTGAGGGTAGGTTCTAAGGCTGCGTGAGTGAAAATGGATTTCTCCAGCTGTCCGCTGTTTTTGAGCACGAGGAAGTTTTTTTCCAAGATGGCGGCGAGGTACATGTTGTATCAGAGCCGGGTGGGGTATGTTGTAACATGTATGTATGTATGTATGTATGTATGTATGGGTATGTTGCTTTTGATCGCGAAAGCTAAGCCCTGGCTCGCGTTTGTAGGTAGCTAGTCAATACTAGTTCCATTTCGGCACAATGTGTTGGCTGCTTTGCTCTTAACGGGTCACTTTTGCGTCTAGTCTGTTGATGTTTCGTTCGTTTCGATGTTTCGTTTGGATTGACCTAAGTTTGGTCTAATAAAAGTGAAGCCTTTGAGCATATACATTGTATTAACCCCATTTAATGTTGTTGTTATGTTCAAAACCAGTAGCAAGCACACTCCCTGAAACGTGAAATAGTGATACAAATTACACCACCATGTGATACAACTCACCCAAGCCATGGGGCAAGTTGTATCAAAAACATTGTTCTATTCGGCAGACCGTAGAAGAAAAACTAGTAGAGGTAGCGGAAAAGTTACTTTGCACAAAAAAGTAGAAGAATCAAGGAAGGAGATAGTATGGAAATAATGAGTTTATCACGGATAGTTACGAGGTTATGGGTCTCGGAGTAAAAACTGATACAACCCACCCCACTCTCCCCTAAAATGTCCCCCCATGTCTCCGCAGCCTCCCTGCCGCCGGCCGCCGCGCGGTCGCGGTAGTGTAGTGGTTAGCGTGCCCGCGCAGTATTCCAAGGGTCCCGAGTTCGAATCTATGCGGTGCGGAACTTTAATTGCAATTCCAAGCTGAATATACGCACATCCATAATAAATCATTATTCGTATAGCTAAACTGTCACCAAGCTATCCATATAAATTGACTTCACCCAAAATATCGGCAAGATTCTATTAAAATATAAATTCAAATATGGCGGCTTGGACTGCCGCGTGCGTTAGGCTCCGCCCATAGCTCCGCCCACATGCGTGACGTCATTCGTGTTAGTGGACACGCAGAGAGATAGGGGACGACATGGGCCTGAGTCCCATACTTGGGACGTCAGCGCTCAACAATGCGCTTTAACCCGCGCCCCGTAGGGCTACCGGCGGACCCTACCACCCGTAGGGGGGGGGGGGGCCGTTTCGGCCCCCCCCCTAAGATCTCGGAAAGTTACCGGCCGATTTTCAAAATTCAAACGGCGTTCGATAGCCCCACCCGGGAACTACCTTGTGACCAAATTTCATTGACCTAGGTCAAACCGATGACGTCACAGGTCAGGTCAAAGGTCAGATTTTCACCGTTCACAGGCATTTCAAGAAATGTGTTGTGAAATCGAGTAAATTGGTAATTTATTGAAAACCATCGATGGTACATTGTTCGTCAAACACATACTTTGCTATCTGAGGTCACTGATACCAGGTCAGGTCACAGCGAGGTCAGGTCACCGGGGGTCACATTATGAAAGTGTCGTGTGATACATGTTTTATGGTCTATTTTACATGACAAATGCGATTATGTGGGTTAGGTAGCCTTTGGGGCCAGCCTAGGTCACGTTTTGGTGAAGGTCAGGTCAAGGTCAGGTCAAATTAGGTCAAATTTCAAAGTTGATATTTTTGCATAAAATGGGTATCGATTCGATGCAGCTCGTCACGGGGAGTCCAATGGTGGTCTTTGTTTTGCTCTACGAGGTCTAGAATTGCCAAAAATTGAGTTTGAAAATTTGACGTCATCATTTTTGAACAGTTTTTTCGCTATAACTTAGCCAAAAAACGAGGTATCGATCTGAAATTTGGTATGTAGATAGAAGACGGTAGGTACTATCACATATATTCAGGTTTTTTCGAAAATCAAACTTTTTGGATTTTTCGGCTTATATATCCAAAAAAATGCATTTTTGATTTTTGGGGGTCAAAACTCAAAAATTTCAAAAATCCGAGATAGCAGTTTTGTAGCCCTGTCAATTCTACACCTTTTGTGTCTTGATCATTTTTCTGTATCTTCAAAGCTGTAGGCCTGACAGGTCTTCTCGCGAAGGTCTTTTTTCGGTCGAAAATGACAGAACATGACGTCATTCTGACGTCATTTGTGGCCAACCTATCATAGCCTCTGGAAAAAATTTTGGTCACAATGTGTAAAATCGATGCCCGGAGGGGTCCTGAAAGTTTGGTGGCGATATCTCCAGCCGTTTATGAGATATCGACCGAAAAGGACAGGGGGGGCCGTTTCGGCCCCCCCTACGGGGCGCGGGTTAACTGTGACGCAAACACATTTACAAGATCAGAGCGACTTACAGAACTGATCTCGAGGCCCATGAGACCATACTGCCGGAGTAGACACTGGTAGTCTTTGATCAGGATGCCTTCACGGCCAATCTCACTTGACAGGACCGTATGTATGTGTTAGTGTGTGCTAACCTTCATTCATCCTTGGCCGAGCGTAAAAAACCTTGTTCTCTTCTTAACTTTATTTCTCTCAACACCTGTCGGTATACCCCGCGAGCCCACCCTCGCGCAACCCGCCTCAACACGCGGCTCTCAACAATCTGGCGCCAATTTTCTGCGTTCACGCATCATGGCCAGCCGTACGCAACCGCCAATGACCGCCTTCCTCACAGCCGCCTCAGATGCACCGCGCCCGCTCATTGGTTTAACTGCCGCACCAATCATCATTGCGCTAATAACCATTTCGGCTGTCTCACGCCTGCTCATTGGTTACCCTTTTTGTTTACATTTCAAGGCCCGTGCCTAACATCCCCCTCCCCTTAAACTAGAAACATAGGGCGAACATCAAATAATTGAAGCTGTACCACACAACTAGCGATTCCACAATACCGCGTCACAGGAACACGAGCATCCTCAGTCACAACTTCTAGAGATCAAGGTCATCCTGCAACACTAAAACATATCCAACTCAAAACCAAGCACTAAGCCCATAAACGGTCCTTGCTAGAGGTAGCGCGATGGTTTCCTCACCTCACGACCATACCTCGTTCGCGTTGTCCCGGCAGCCTCCAGAACCGTCTCATCAGCTGAGGTCATCATGCTGACGTCCGTCTCGTTCAGGTCATCTCTCGCCCTCGCGAGATCATCCGGCTCCAGCGAATCGTCCTGTGTCGAACTGGTCTCGTCGGTCTTCACATTGCCAGCGGCTCCCTCGTCCGGCGTTTCGTCTGGCGCTGACGTCTTCCCGTCGACCGTCGTGTCTTGCGCTGCTCTCGCGACTGGTTCCAACAGCTCCGTCGGATTGAGCCCTGCGTCATCCGTTTCTCGTGACGGCTGTACCGCGCTCTTCGGTATCTGATCATCGATATTCGGTTCATCCAACTGAACATCTTCAGCCACACCTTCTTCTCTTCCACCAGTCACTGTCGTTGCCGCCAACTCAGTCTCTCCGCTGACGAAATCTGGTCCGTTTGCTTCAGCATAGTCGTCCCTTCCAGTGCCGTGTCTCTCCTCGATCTCCAGCACTGTCATTTCTCGCTCGCCTGCTGTACTCTCCCCCTTCTTCAGGTGACAACCGTGTATCAGTCTGCGTTTCCGACCTTTCCTTATCACGTAGTCTGGTGGTCGTGCCTCCACCACTGTGTAGGGTCCTTCAAACTTCGGTCTCAGTTTCCCATGCACTCCTTTTCCGGCTGTGAAATTGCGACACCACACGGCATCTCCTGGCTGAAACGTTGCTGGTCTCGTGTCGGTGCGAAGACTCTGCTTCTGTCTGATCAGTTCCAGTGCTTTCTGATGCGTGTGTTCCAGGCGCTTCTTCAGCTCTCCCAGAAACTGACGGTGAGATTGGTTCTTGATGTTTTCCACGTCGAATTCGTCTTCCAGAACAGTTCGCTTTGGTCTCCCGTACACCAGCTCCCCTGGTGAGAATCCCGTCGCGCTGTTACATCCCGAGTTGTACGCCGATGCTACCACAGGTAGCCACAGGTCCCAGTCGCGCCTGTTTTCTGCCACGTAGTGAGTGAGTAGTTCCATCAGTGTCCGATTTAGTCGCTCCGCCTGTCCGTTACAGCACGGGTGGTATATAGTTGTTCTCAGCTTCTTGACACCCAGCAGGTGACAGACTCCTTTCATGAGGGCTCCTTCAAAATTGCGGCCCTGATCGGTCAACAGGCTCTTCATTGCCCCGAAGCGGCCGATCACCTGCATCACACAGTGCATGATTTCTTCCGCAGTCTGCCGTTTCAACGGAAACACTTCCACCCACTTGCTGAAGAGGTCCGTCATGATCAGTACGTACTTGTGACCAGCGTCACTTTCCGGAAGCTCGAGGATATCTGCTGACCAGTGCAGGAACGGCTCGCCTTCTACCGAAATTGTTCCTCTTCCCTCTTTGCAGCTTGTGTACTTCGGCTTCGTCTTCAAACACGACGTGCAGCTTCCGCAGTACCGTCGTACTTCGCGCTGTATGTTATACCAGAAAAAGCC